CCAAAACATTTCCTGCTAAATGTAATATTTCCTGATTTTAGGTTCACCATTAAACCCCACCATTAAATGAATTATATATTGCTCTAAGCGGATTAACAAAAATTTATAGAATCCCTCTATACTGTTTTAAAGCCTGTAAATACAATAACGGACGATTTTTCAGTTAAGCACCTACCGGTATTGCATAGTTAGTTTTGGTATGTTATCAAAATTGAATGCTTTCGTTTTCTTTACTACTTTCGTAAAATAATAAAATTGATGTAAAATTAAGTTTGGTAAAATATTGATTTTCATCCTTCGTCTTGTAGATTTTAACCATTTTGGAATTATAATGGAAAGACGACGAGTATCGATAAAGAGATTTATCATGTTTTTTTTTAATCAAGGCAGGTAAAAAATCTATTGATTGATTGATTTTTTACCTGCCTGTGATTGTACCTAAGTTCGTAATCACAGTTTTAATAGACCTTTAAAATAAAATTAATTTTTTTGTCTATACAAATAATATTTTATTTTAAATATATCTTCAGTATATACCTATTTTACAGTTGTTTCGCAGATTATACGAAAAATATATAAAAATAAGTATTAGACAAATTCGCAGACATTGCCCAACTTTCAAGTAGCTAAACACAATGATTACACCAGCTAAAACTTTCCGATGACCCTCTTTATGGAAGGCGATACCTGGAAGCAGTCTAAAAAGCCTTTTCCAGCTTCGTTAGCTCTGACCTTGCAGAGATCCCTCAACGAGTTGTGGGCAAGAAACATAAGTTACATAAACATTACCCCCCAGACAGGACGAGGACGTGCAATGCTCGAAGGTACGATAACATCCAAACCCGAGACAACATAGAAAAGTTATTTTCTACATTCACTGATTGGGAATTATACATGGCGACACCTTATATCTCCCATTGCCTCGATTACGGAACTCGTATCAAAAAGAATAAGTAAATACCATATTTGATAAAGCAAACTAAACCAAGCTCATGGTCGTCGATTGTGGCAAAAAGTTGAGATTCACTGGTACTCTCAAACTCGAAACAGTTGAAGATTATGTCTTCTATCTGCCTACGAAGAGTGCTTGATTTCTTTGATCACATTGACATAAAATAAAAAGAAAGCAACCTGGAGCAACTTATGGTTATGGTTACCCATAACCATAAGGTCAACGGCAGAAGACCAAGAGCGCGTAGCCCAATCAGCCCCCTTACTCTAATTACGACCGATCGACATTGCAATTGTTCTGTTCCGATTGCATTCGAGAGTACGGGGGCTGATCCGAACAACCTTGGACGTTGCTCTAAATTCGGCCAAGGAGAGAAAGAGACGGCAAGCAATTGTTCGGAATAATAATACACCCCTAATAGAGAATCACGTCACGACCCTCAGTAATGAGGATAATGTCGCGAGGAGGCTCGTTAATTTTATATTTTCAATACTGTTATCTTACAGAATATGCTTAAATTTGTAGATTATATTTTCAGTGATTAAATATGAATGTTTAATTTTTTTTTCATATGAAAATTAAAACACATATATGTAGGTTCGCATTCTCACATTAAAATATAAAAGAAAGCTTTCATTCGCTTTGATAAGTATAATTTTAATACCCACTAATTTAAAAATATTATTTTCTCAATGATAAGGATGCCATAAAAAATAATGTACCTGAAGTAAATATTACTTATATATAATAATTTATTTTCAACACAATAAAAATGTAACGACAGCAGCTGATGATAAAAAAATTTACTGCTCGATATTATGGCGACTGCAAAGCGTTTTTCGTCATAATATTAATGACTGCAATGAGTGTTACGTTTATACATGTTTTTATAAGACATTTTTCTTACATTCCTTTTGTGTTAAAATTTCAATTATTAACTTATGAATTGGGCTCGTAATAACTGTTAGTTTTAGTTACAGTATAACAAATGTAATTTGTCACGGAAGTAGGAATTATTGGTTATATACTTTTTTAGAGAAGATGCGGTGAAATACATATGTTTAATTAAATAATGTTTATTAAGCTGGTTGAGATCTAGATAGAGCATCTAATTTTTCTACAGATCACCATGTCATTTTGGTTGTTTTAAAAGGGTTTGGAGGGGCGGGGGAATATGAATATAGTATGCTGGGGTTTTCCAGAACATAAATTGATAAAATTAAGTCTCATTTACCAAAAAAATAATCAAAAGGTCGATCATAGTCGTCACAAATTACCATTATTATAATTCCCTCAAATAATTAGTAAACGTGACGAACATGCATCACGAATCATGATAAAAAAACCCTTGTTAAAAATAGCTATGGAAAAAATCCAGCAGTTTAGGTAACTGAGACAGTTGTGATTCTTAATTACCTCTCTAAGATTATTAACATAGCACTGTGAGTGCAAATTTTCGTGAAATAATTATTATAATGGAAATGAAATGAAATTAGCTATAATTTTTGTGTGAAAAAGTCAAGCCATAAAGAACGGTATCAAAATTTGCTCAGTTGACAGATAATTTAATTAAACACAAAGTTTATAAGCAAACACTTTTCTTTGTTAATACTTTATTAGAAGCCAAGAATTTGAAGAAATTGTTTCTGGCGAAGCCATTAAGAGGTTTTAACTTGGGTTTTACGATCTGTATCCTTTCGTGATGGCCAGCCGTAACTCTCTTTCGCTATCCGTTTAATCTAAGGCGTTCGTTTATTCCCTTTAATTGTTTTTGAGCATCAGAGCAACATCGAATTAAAGATGTTCAAGTAGGCTGGTAAGCCTGCTAATTTAAGTAGTTTATAGAAAATACACTCAAGGAATGCTTTTGTTCGTTTTTACACACGACTTAACGAAGAACTTCTTAGTGCGTTCGTGCACTTTTAAATAACGATTTTTGTTTGTTTATGTGCTCAATATGATTTGATAGATTAAATAGTAAGAGGTATTCTGTAAAAAAAAATCTACGTTGATCTCGACGCTGGGCATATGCTTCCACAGCATAGAGGTCTATTGTAAAGTGTTTGTGATCTAGCTATTAGCAATTGTTTGAGATAATTGTCACAGTTAACGTTGAATATTTTTTTTTTACAAATTGTGGTATTTAATAGGTGACAGAGTATACAAAAAAATATTTGTTGTATGTAGGTATATGAAATAATTGCCATAAAATTCCCCGACTCAAAAAGTTACAGATTTAACACATGCATACAAAGCTAAGAAAATCTGAGTTGTGGGATAAGATCTTGGACGAATTTTCTTTATAGTGTAATTAATATTGGAGATTCTAAATAATATAGGATATTCTGAACTTTTCGTAGAGATTTTTTTAAATAACATCGAGTACTAAAAATCCTATTCCTATTCTATTCTATTCTACATCTGACATGAATATAATTAATTTTATAATTAAAGCAGAGTCTTTATTTTGTTTTATTAATTATCTAAAATATTTTTCACAAGATTTTGATAAATTGATTTAAGGTAAAAAGCCTGATCCATTCGCTGCTGTTTTTCATACTTACCTACGTTATTCGGTATGAAGAGTATTTCCTACCTACTTACATGCTTAGCAAAACGATCATTAACATGGAAAGGATTTATCTCATTAACCTAGTTTTTGTTAAATAAATGTTGCCTTAGAATATATCTATACCTTTAAAAAACAATAAAAGTGGACTTAATTTAGATTTTGATTCCTGTCAAACTGAATTTCCATACGGGAAATTACAATAATAATAATAGACTAAAATTGTGTTGATTGTAGGAATAGGCTAAGTAAAAGTTTTATTCAAATAATCCTAATATTTTTATGTATGTGTCGAAAAACGCAAATAAGTTTGAAGATAAAAAAGCTTAATTAAGATCTATAAAGGCCCTAGAGACAGGCTCTACACTGAAAGACCGATTGGAGTGCTTGGCAATGTTTTCCATGCTCATGAATAAACAATAACCAACAGTGAATAGGGCTGCTAATCAAGGATTTAAGACACTTTAGCCGACAATCTTTATAGGCTTAATAGATTTTTTGTTCGACCAATTTAAAAGCTAATGTTGAAGGAATCTATCGGTATAGATATAAATTGAATTTGTCATTTGGTATGTCAACAATTGTTTTACAAAGATTGTTGACTTAATTGCATTTTATTATAGATATAACCACATTCATATAAGTATAAAATAATAGTTCTGTGATAAAATCCTTTTCAAAGTTTGTTTGTCTAAAAAAATAAAACAATAATTTCATTTGATTACGGTCCGCGTCTTTCTTTGGGCCACCACGCTAATTTACATACCTATATGATGGTAACATATTTAAATTCAATCGGCTCAGAAACAAATCAGCTCAACTGACGAACGCACGGATGGACAGGCAGATAGTTTCGTTTTTCCTTGAGGTAACCCTAAAATTATTTTACTGTGACTTTGTAGTCTATATTTATGCCTCGATGGAACGTTGTGTTGTAATTTTAATAAATTGGTAGTTTTGGACGTTGTGTTATATATAATTTTAATTAATTGGTAGTACAAGGCTTTACCTGTAAAAAAAATATTTCGTGTAAGCAAACAAAATTATTGCGTGCCCGCTAGTGTTATAAATTTTCAAGTAGGTACATTTAATCAGTGATAATTAACAAAGTTTGTTAGCGCTTCATCAAGGATACAAAAGCAATATGTATTTACTTTGTTCGGAAAATACACAACATTCCTTTTCTTTTAATGAGATATTACCAATGAAATTATTAAAATCATGCGATGAAATTTATTTCGTGTCCGTCACATCATTTTAATAAAATCGTTTTAATTTTGAAATTTGAACCTAACGCGAAATTAAATTTGTATCCATTTGGACCTACAACTATTGAAGTAGTCAATGAATAAAATAAAGTCTTTATTTTCTTCACGTGTATGACGTATTAGAAGACGTTAAAGAAAATAATAAGACATTTTTATCATTTGTAGTCAATGTGGGTAGACTATTGGTACTAGCACTTGGTTGAGGTAATCTTCAGCGGTCATAGTGTTTCTGATCCAAACGAGGTCTGTTCTTCCACCAACACAGATTACCGCCCAAACCATAACAGTCCCGCCATGGTAACAACACCCTCAGGATGGACTTCCTGAGAGTGTTGCAGGTGACTCTCATGACCAGGAGTTCCCATACGCGTACACTTTTCGAATCAGGTTGGAAACCGAATCGGTACTCATCGGTAAACAGCACTACAGATTACTGGCTACCTTCCCAGAGCAAATGTTCACGAGCCCACTTACGAGATAAAAATATTTGGTCACCCATCTCGTGACCCCCCCTGCGAAACCACTACGCCACTGAGCTACTCTACTTTAAATTAAACAGCTTACTTATTTTAAAACTTCCTATTAACACAAATAATCTTCAAAAACGATGGTAGGTAAATTGAAAACTTCGAACTTCGCTTCGAAAACTTCGAAAAAATTGAATTTTTAAGGTTTTTTGAAGAATATTTTCTAGTATACATTGTGAATGCAAAATTGATCAAATATAATAGTTTCTTTTGATTTAAAAGGTATAAAGGTGGTATATATTTTTTGGTAGATATTGGTGCAAATATTAACCTTAAGGAAGCTAAAGTTCATTTATGATGTTTTGGCTGATTTAAAGAAATAGATAAACTAGTTCTAATTGGAGGTTTTTAGGCAAATTAAACTAAATAAAGAAATGTTGACAATTAAAGAGCAAACAGATAGCATTATTAGAATATCAATAAATTATTAACACAGAGCTTATTCAGAGTATTGTTCCACGCCGTGAGTTCATGTCCTGGTTAATGATTATACTTTTATTTATAACATTTTTATGAATACAGAGTAGAATATAATAAAATAAATAACGAAATGTACAAAGATGAAAAGATGTGACCTTTCCTGGATCTCGAGTGAATTAAGAAGAAATTAATTTAAGTATTTCAAGTGAATAAAAATGTATGTGAAAGTATTCATATAAATAAAAATTGTATTCGTCTGGAAAAAAATTACAGATCTTTAAGAGCCGATAATTTAAATAAGTAACAAAAAGTTTTTTTGATTCTAATATGTAAAGAATATAAGCGTAGGAAACTTTTAATATATCAGAATGCCGTTTGGACTAAAAAAATGCGCCCGCAACCATTCAAAGCTTGACGAATAGCATCATAACAGGATTGCGGGGCAATCATTTATCGATGACGCAGTCATGCGTGATTACGGAATAGTTTACAAAGTCATACCAATAAATTAAAAGAAGTATTGAAATATTTTATATGAACGATTCAGAGTTACAACCTCATTTAAGGTGATCTTTAAAAAGAGATACTTGGGACATTTATTTACGGAAAAAAGAGTCAAACCAAGAGGCCCAAGTAAATTATCTGCAATCGAAAATTATGTTATTCTTGAAAATATTAAGAATATATAAAGTATAGAAGATTCATACCAGATTTTAGAAGTATAAAACAACCCATAACAGAACTCTAAAAAGGATATTCCATTTAACTAGGCAATTTCATCCTAGGAGGAGTATTTTCTATAGGGCCAATCGAAAAAAAATTACCGATTGCTTACGCTTGTAGAACTTTTAATATTACAGAACAAACCTATTTCATCATTGAAGGTGAATTTCTAGTGTGTTACACGCTTTAGACCATATCTATATGGCCGCAATTATAATATTATCACAGATCATCAAACAATAACTTTAATTAAAAAAATGATAGAGCTATAATTTTCGCATGGCGACTATCGCTTTAAAAATGTAAGTGTACACTAATATCAACACTGAAGAAGATGCGTTAAGTAAATTTACTCCGTTAAGGTAATAAGGTTTAATGGCAACATTAAATCATGAAAATCATAAATCAATCTTCATTTAATATTCGTTTTATAGTATAACAATTATAGTGTTAACAATTAAGACCACATTGTATTAAGTATAAGTCGACCAATTAAATTTGAGTTCTAAAAATGTCGTGTCTCATTCAACTTCAACGCAAACTTCAACAACAACAAAATAAAAGCCAACCGCTTGGACAACTACAATACATTGGCTAGTAAAGTAATAATAGGTGCTTCTTTTCATAAAGTATCAAAATTCCAGAAGTGAATAAGTGAAGGATATTTATTGAATAGTTTAGCAAAAGGTTATTTGTTTAGCAGTTGTATACATTTAATTTATTGAGAATTTTATGGATTGTCGTTATTTTTGTCTTGAGTTTAATAAAACCAAAATATTCATATTATATGCTTCATAGGAATACGTTCGCAGTGTAAATAAATGTAATACTACGTATAAATGTAAGTACTTCATATTAATAATATCAGATTGACTAACATTGAATTTTAGCAAAACCTATAATGATATCGCCAATAATTAAAAGCAAGAAGACATGTACATAACATACGTAGACTATTCAAGCTATTGAATAGCCCATAGCAAGAAAATTACATGGCACTAGGTACCCACACCTATTCATAATTCAAAGAACAGGACGTGTCTTCTCTTTGTCTTAATCAGCACAATGCGTGATTAATATGGATTTACGATTATCTGCTCATAGAAACGTGATAGATTTAAATGGATAATAATTCGTTTTATGTAATTAGTTTTACATCTAATTTGGGTCAGTATAGACTAGGATAGCTTGACGATGTCTGATGACTATTGCTTTAAAAAAAAATCATTTTTGAGATATAGTTTTGTAAGATTCAACTTTATTATTATTATAAAAAAGCCAGCCAAGTGCGAATCAGACTAGCGCACGTGATATTTTTTACTTCTTTTCCATTAAAGTAAAAAAATCACGTTTGTTAATTTATTTATTCTTTATGCACAAACGTACATAGGCGGACTTAATGCCTGCGGAATTTTCTGTCAGTCAACCATAGGGTAATGTGGAGAAGAATACGTGGTCAGGTGCACAATTACAAGCAAAATAATCACAAGAATAGGCTAAATTAGAGAAACTATTTATTTTCCTCGACGTTTCGGCTACGTTGCAGCAGTCGTGGTCACGAGAAGACTGGAGAACTGGCGGATGTCGTCTTCTGATTTAAGTTGAGGCGTGAGGGTAATCCGTAATAATGTTTTTAACTGATTTTCAGATGTACCCACTTGATTTTATTGTACGTAAAGGTGGCGACACATTGCACTCACGATATCCGAAAATATTGTTCGTGGTTTTTTGCGATCGTGACACTTACACATTTTTATAACCGGATTCCACGTTGGTGAGAGTTTATATCCACTTTCCCGGTTGAAATTGTTATGTTTCTTGATTTCAACCGTTTCATGAACAATCTTTTGATATTTGAAAGGACATGAGGTGTATGTAACTTGATCCAGTGGTTATGTTGCACGAAAAAGACCCGGTTTCATACAATCACAAGTTTAAATCCATTCAATTAGAGAAGCTTATTAATAGACTTACACCCTATTTCTATGGGTATACGTAATATATTTAATTTGCCAAATTCATAGTATTAATATCTGTGTTATAGATAATGTCCCCTTATACTATGTCTATAGAATAAATAAGATTTCCAGTAAAAATAAAATGGCCGTTTAGTCAAAGAAATGTTTCTTCAGTACGTCAAGAAGTATCTTCGTTTCCGTTGGGGATCTATTGTACTTGTAAAATGGGATCTGAAAATGTGAATCAAGCTGTGTCTCCCCTATCGTTTGCACAGAGGAAGGTTGTGTCAATAAAACTGAAATAAGTTTATTTTTAACCAACATAAAAGTTGGAGTTGTTTGAGGTGGACGAGTATATTGTTTTTATTCTATACGTTTGTAAATATGTAGATTCCGAGATATCTTGGTCAATTGCGAATTGATTTCAACTAACGTTTAGTTTTTTCTATGATATAGCTTTTAGGTACTTTTAGTAAACATGAAAGAAATATGATGAGCAGCATCAGATCTCATTATTTATTAGTTAAAGTAGTGTTAATATCTCGAAACTTTGATAGATATGTTAAATTAGATTATGCATAGGTATATTTCATTATCAGCATAAGAAATGAAATTATTATAATGTTATTAGTGCTCGTAACTGTCGCTCCACTGGGAGAATCGTTACACATGTCAGTATGGCAAACAGAACACGATTTGTATTTCGGCCCTTGTACGAGTATGTCTGTGTCATCGCAGGACTTGCCACAATCACGAGTGAGAACCCAATTATTATCTGTAACAATAGTTTAATATTTTTAAATAACATTAGAAACGTTTGTATTTTAAATTAATTTTATGCTATTCGTTTGGAACTGAAAAATAACGTTCTTACGATTTTGATTCGTATAATGCTTTGACGATATATTTCTTCCAATTATTTTGATATAAAACAAGACTTCTGATCCAATTTGGACATTTTAATCAGACCATCTTCAGTATAGGTCCCTTACGAATGAAAGAGACAGCGGCGGAATGTTATGTGCGGTTAAAAATAAAAAATATATCAATATTCTTCTGTTTTTCACCGGTTATAAAAAATATTTAGAGCTCACACGACCTTTTTGGGCGGTTTTTAGATGTGTTGAGCAACTTTTTACTTAGTGTTTTTTAAATTATCTGTGGAATATGAGGAAGTTATGATGCTTTTCCTTCAACAGAAGCTGCCAGCCGTGACGGCTAGTCGCCCAGCGGCAAGAGGGGCGACTCATCAGCTGCCCGAGTTTTGTGACTTCAAAGCGAGTACTTTGAAAACGGGAGGAAAAAGTATCACATCTCCGTAATTTTGCATGATATTTCTCATAACATTTTTACTACATGTATTGTTTTTCTATTAAAAGAAAAATAGTGAACTATGTAATTGTTATTTATTGTTGTGATTTAGAATCATTCAAGTATGAATTGTATATGAACGATGGTATTTTTCATTATAAATATTTGGTATCGCTTATATTATGAAATAAAATACTGAGAAACTTACTGCTTGTCAAAAAGGTTTTTGTTACACAAGCTTCATGGCCTTGACGACAATATTTTACAGTTGTTCTTCTGTCAGGCTCTTGACAAGTGGGGTTGGTGACAGTGCTACATGCGTAGCATACTCGGCTGTGTCTTAGAAGGTTTACTGGTGAAGATGATAGATCAGTTATACCCGCACCTTTAGTAGGGTCGAGTAATTCATTGTTTTCAAATGCTATTCTATTGTTTTCATTAATTTCGTCGGCATTCACATTAGGGTCAAAAACTTCAGTTTGTATATTGTGTTCAATTTTTTTGGGACTGGTAAAAAATCTTCGGTTGTTTGAGGTATCTTCATCGTTTTTAAGTTTTGTACTTTCACAATCATCGTAATCATCGTTACTTGTTTTTTTCGGTTGTACTTCGATAGTCTTTGGTACATAAGTAGGTCTTTTAACAATGACATTAACTGCATTTTCAGTTTTTTTCTGTTTAATTTTATTGAAAAGTGCTCTATTATAATCATACATATTAGGATTTGTTGATTTTGCTTCAAAAGTGTCATCAAAAGTAACTTTATTGTCAAGTTCATTATTTGATTGAGGTTTTAGAGGAAATAGCTGATCTTTTATATCCTCTACATTGTCTACCAAAAGAGGTTTAGGATAGTTTGCAATATCAACGTCCTCATTATTTGATTTATCTTGGGTTATTATGAAATGGTTACCATCAAAATCCCCGTGACTATGAAGCAATATTTCCTCACCCTCAGGGTTATTATTATTCACATCATTGATTTTTAACGATGATGGTTTGGAGACTATATTGAGAGTTTTGAAATTGTTGTTTGGTATGGGTCTTCGACTAGATAGTCCCCTAAGATCAATATTATCCAAAGAATTATCTTTACGCCTAGTACAAGGCTTAGATTGCAGTGGTTCTTCAACCTGTATGCTAATACTGGGTCTGTTTGCATCTGTAATATAAAAACATTTCAAACAACTTTAAATAAGGAGATTATGAATTGATGCAAAAAATAATTAATGTTGGAATTACATATTAAACATATTATAAGAGGTAAAGTTTCTAATTTTGTAATGTTTTAGGGGGTAATCTTCGGAAATACCGATTCGATCATGAAAATTTTTTCACCTACGAAGCTACATGACCTGCGGCTGAGTAAAGTAGTGGGAAAACAGTAGCATATACTCCTAGATTTCACTAACTATGTGTGTATATGTTACTGTATATAAACTTTAAAAAATAGAACCGACTTCAAACTTTAAAAAAGTAATAAATAATATATTCAAGAAAATGTTTTTGAAGTCAGGAGGTCTTCTGTAGGTTTATTAATTAAACAATACGCGTTCGTTCGAATTCAATAGCATTTTCTTGAATAAGTCACTTTTGAGATAAGTATTATTAATTACTTTTTTAAAGTCGGTTCTATTTTTTATTAAAGTTTTTATTTCATATTCTTAATACAAAATGCTTAAAAATCCACTTGGTTCTATATTATAATTAATACGAAAAAATTTATTGCTTGTTTGTTTGCATTGGATAGGCTCCGAAATTATTGAACCGATTTATAAAAGTCTTTCATCTACGGAAAGCTACATAATTTGCGCAAGTGAAGTCGCGAGGAAACAGCTAGTTTGACAGAAATTGGTTCACAATTCAAGAAGAAACCGATTGACACCAACTTTCATAAAAATATACATACTCCTTGAACATAGAAAATCCTCCTTTTGAACTTTGAATGAATTCAAAATAAGCATTTTTTTTTGTTTTTAGCTGAGATACATGAAATACTATGTTTTGTATTTGAACATTTAAATGATATGTAATGAAAAGCGTATTTTGTTTCGTTACAAAAGAAATTACTGATTCGATTTCGATAAAATTTATATGGGACCACATTGGTTTATTTTTAAGTCAGTCAACAATTGGCGGAAATATTGGTGGACATACATAAAAAACATACATCGCCGTCGAACGCATAACCTCTTCCTTTTGGATTTAGAAGTCGGTTAATAAGACCGAAGTACGCTAAATATTAGGCTTTGCCTTATTCTATGAACATTGTTCATTTCGAATTTCATCATAATCATCTCTGTAAATCTTAGGTTTTATTCAATACTTAGACAGTTGAAATTTTCACGGATTATGTATTTCTGTTGCCGCTATAACAACATAATAAAAAAAACAGTGAAGAATAATATGGGTTCTCCCATACAACAAAAGTTAATTTTATTCGTTTGACATCGATTTAGCTTACTTATTATTACTAAACGTCAATATAGGAATTATTTAATGGTTTATAAAAAGACCAAAATTGTACATACCCAAAACGTTTATCATATAAATTAATGTTATTATTGTAATTATTTTCAACATGATTTTATTTAAATATGGGTAATTTTAGAAAAGACTTGTTAGACGAGTTGTATGAAGCCAAATGAAATTAAATTCATACAAAACATGTTAAATATCATGAAATGGAATGTCAATTATTATCAGGAAAGTAAAACAATAAGCCCATTGTGTTAAACATACTCAATATTATCTGAAAACAATAGGTGTTCTGCTAGGATGGATGTTATGGTTCTAAAAGGGACGTTTTAAGGCATGCCATCTAGCGTATGAATTAGGGGTTCATTTTGTATGATTATTTATATTAGATTTTTGTTTATAGAATAGAATAGGTTTTTTATTTTAACGTTTATATAATTTTAACGTACTACGAACTTCATTTCTTACGTAGATTTGCATAAACTCATTCACATAAAATTTATTGATGCGCTATTGTTTTGATACTTCGTATTTAAACGATTTTTTCCGACGTTTCAGTTGTTAATTGTAACTTAATTGTACTGAAAGGCCATTGTAATAAAGATTCAGGTTTCTTGATTTCTCTAGAGTTTTAGACTAATATGTTTCTCAATTTTTTTTTAGTACAGAGCTATCGAAATGTACATGAAAATAAAACGGTGTGGATATTATTCATTTACTTCTTACACAACTCTTTTTTTGGGGGTTAATGAATTAATAAAGCTGATTCTAAGGCATTTTGATTTCGTAATGTTTTGACGGAATTTAAATACAGATTAAATTTCGGCATCCCACATTTATCTTTCGCCCCTATAGCTTAATCGATACTAAGGGTGAGAGAAATTAACGCTATTTGTCTTCGCCGTTATATTTTCGAGATTTCATTACTTAAGGTGACATTTTGTATTTTTCTTTTGCGAAAAGCGAATTGGTTTTTCGTGCGAACGAAAATACGTCTGAATTCTGATGAATGATTTAAAAATACGCCCTCCTTTGTATAATGTAACAATTTGATTTTTGACTTAACTTAGAGTTATTTTCTTAGCATATTTATATTTTGTACGATTCATAAGTTCTTATAATAACCTTATTTGAATAAAACAATATTCAGATTTTGAAGAAAATAGGTTTTAGAGCTTATATTAGAAAATCTGAAAAAGACAAACTCATCACAATAATCATATCCGAATCAATAAACCTATAGGTAAAGTTCACTTTCTATATTGACCTGACTAAGAATCGAACCTATGGAAGGTCATGCGTGATATATTGAAATCAGCGTGGGAGCCACTCAAACACTGGGGACGGGGTTAATGTTCAGTAATTCGTTATCAGTTTAGTTACAAAAAAGGTTTTGGTTTTATATTATATAACATCTATCATACTAAATAAATACACTATATTTTTATTAGATAGAATAACGTTTTCCAAACATTCTAAGGAACCAAAGAAGCCTTAGGGTACTTTACATTAAAAATGTATATGAAAGCCCCAGTGGAAAAGCAATATTTTAAGCGATGAGAGCTCAAGCAGTTGTATTTTAATTTATTTTATTTTGAAGAATATTGGAGTTACGAATGAGTCATATAATAATACCAATTTTTTATTTGTTAACAAAAAATAAAAATAAAAGATTGAGAGAATACGTTCTATGTAACGAAAAATTTGTGTGATATATGATCTAAGAGACAAATACATATTTTAAAAATTTTGCAAATATAAAACAGGCCATACAAAATGTCAACGCTGTTCTTCTCTGGGAAAGTCAGACTATGACATTGATTATTACTTTTTGGATGATTGGGAGGTGAAAAATATCATCTGGCAGCACTGCATGTTGACTAAAACACCTTTCTTTTATCTGACATATTAAAAGAGATTTAAAAAGTGATACAGTATTAATATTAGAAACTAAAATGCTTTATTTATATAATTTTGAGGTATGTCCTCTTAAAGATAGACTTAAGTCGATAGATAGACGTCACTATTGTTAAATTCGCATAGGATAATTTCTATCAACATGCTAAATTTGATTACACAATACATAGATTTGGTAAGCATATCGTATCTTCAGTATAAATTCAGTTTCGATTCAGTTTGTCGACATTACAAATTTAACAGGCGCGTTAAGGCACTTCACAAGTCATTCAAAGTTAGCTATTCCGACTCACACGCATTAACGAGCAGACGCGAACAAAGTAAACAGCGACTAAAATCGAGTTACTACACTTTACGACGAGAATTCGTTAAGTGTGTCGTTTGTTTCTCCAGTTCGGAAGTTATATTTGTCATTTCAAGTCAACCAGTAATCACGGTTGGTTCACGCGAATTAAACTCTACAGGGTTTACGTTTTAGGGACGAGGTTTAGTCAAATATTCTGAGGTGGTGGTTTGTATTTTCATTTATGTGAGTATCGGATACAACTACGAGGTTTATTTGTGACCAAGTTAACGTTCTGTCGTCAATGTTTTGCGGTGGAGACTAAGTACATTTTTATACTTTCTTGATTTTGGCTTAATGAATAATATGCTGTGATTTTTATATTCATTAAGCAAACAAAAACATGAATAAGATTGGTAGTAGCAATTTCTTATAATATTTACAATTGGATGTTGTGTAATTCTGTAATCAAAATAAATATGAACTGGCGTTTAAACAAATATAAGATATGATGAACTTAAAAATAGTTGGAATATTCAATAGAAAGGTTCAAGGCGGAGTTTGAACCGATGTGCTAACCATCTATTCGCTGTCTAGGTGACTACTACTTAATTATAACAGTAAATTGTGAGAATAACAAAAAGCGAAAATGTTTAAGCGGTAAAAATAATAACCTCGTTAGACAGTTATGGTTCGGTTGAAAAAGCTGTTTATCCAACCACGTAGATAACAGAAGAATAAGATGCTAAATATAAGATTCATGGTAAATCTAGTTATTCCATTAATGTCCTTAGTGCCAAGTCAGCTCACACCCTGGTTGCAAGGTATCGTGAGGACCTAGGTTCGATTCGCTATCGGTGTTGTGGGTACATTCGTTGTTTCGTATTTCCATAATAAAAAGCTACGTAATTTGCCATCTGAGCAATATACGTGACGTATTAGAATATATTACTTATTAATGTAAATTGCGATTTAACCAAATATAATGCGATATATTTATGGGTAGTATAGTACATATGACAGGTAATATTCTTTTACATTGTCTTTAAATTAAGAAATTGCTAGCAATTTAGAAGTGGCAATTAGCGTTGGATTACAGAAGTTGTATTCAACGCACAACGGGTTATTTACGAAAGGGCGTTGAGTTTGGGAAGTGGGCGTTATGAAAACCACTCAAAACGAGTTTGAGGAAAATCTTTGCTGATTTTATCTCAATGAAATATGAGCCTTAGAAGTTTGGATGGCTACTCTGTTCGATGCTTAGTTCACACGATTTCCCCGAGTTCATAGTAAATTGCCCCATTATAGTTACATTTGTTTATATTGTGTAGGAAAATAGTGTTTTCTTTTTCCTTTTACCTTATGAAATATTATCTGGATTTTAACCTAATGCTATAATGGGGGCAAAGAAAATTATTTTCTCGGTTTTAGATTGGAGATATGTTTTATATAAATATTTACTTTATAAATTATTATTGCATTTGGGTGTACATAATAAGGCACTGATGACTGTTTAGTCATAGAAATTTTCTGAAAATAAACTTTTCATTATAATTGATCCACACCAGTCCCGGGCATCCATCATCTCAGGGTTCCTTAGACTGGTGCATTAGTAAAACTCTTTTCATTACAAATATTTATCGCTTCTTATCAAAACAAATTTCCATATTAATAGAAAGTTTAAAATATTTGTAAAAATATTTAACTTAGCTCTTTAGACTGCGTGAACATTGTTGCCAATACTGCCACTAGTAACGAAAGTAATTACTGCCTGAGAAATTTGTCAGTCCTGCGGAGTCTTGGTGGCTCAATGGTTAGAGCAGTAGCCGGAATTGCGTAAGGTTGGTTTCGAGTCCCATCTCGAAGAAGTGTCGGAGATTGGTGAATTTATTAAACATTTTTCATTAATATATTTTTGTTTAATTCATTATAATATAGAACACGGTTGGTTTATATTATGTTAGAACAGTGATCAGAAATTTTCTGTCTTTCATTTAATGCCCCATTACGCACACTCCAGTTTTAAACTGGTTATGACATTTGTATGATACCATATATACAGAACAAAATGTATATATTAAAACTAAAATTATGCGATACATTAATTATAAAAGATTAAACCTAATCACAATGATTACTGAATTTCAATAGTTATTTTTAGTGTCACTCTTTTAAATTTACGTCCTGTAAAATAAGTGCCACCTGTACTAAGATTATGAAGAGGAAAAATTTGTTATTTTTTGTTTGTTTACATGGAGTAGGCTCCAAAACTACTGGACCGATTTTAAAAATTCTTTCTCGTCCGGGAAGCTGCATTATACGCGGGTGATATGCTATAATTTAACCAGGCGTCGCGGGAAAACAGCTGGTATCAGATAAAAGATTAACCTTGGGTACGATTTGTTATTTATTATTAGGATTTTTTTCATTTAGAATATTATTTTGGAAGAGATACAAGGAGTCGTTTTTGTACTAAGAAACAAGAAAGAAGATAATGGAGAGAGATGTGTGGCACCTTCATCGGCAAGATCATATCTTTTAATTAAGGGAGAAAATAATGAAAACCTTCAAAATTTTAACTTCGGTTCGTACTTCGTAAGTTCTGAGAATTACTAAATTATATAACATTAGTTGATAATAACAAGTAATAAGAAATAACATTAGCGTTATGTAGTCTTCAATTAAGAGCTTGCCAACATTCTAGGACTTGCACTTCTTCGTGGATAGTTTTGTCGTCTATCCAAAAGTAGAGCACACTTTATATATTTTTAATGCAGTAGAATGGGATAGAGAATGACGAAATTTGCATACTAAAACGGCTCCAGATTTAACGAACGAGTTTTATAACCTGTTCAGAACAGATGTCAGA